TATTTATATACTTATATGCTTATATGCTTATGTACTTATGTGCTTATGTACTTATATACTTATGTACTTATATACTTATGTACTTATGTACTTATGTACTTATGTACTTATGTACTTATGTACTTATCTATTTACGTGCTTACCTACTCAATTATCCACTTATCCACCTATCCACCTATCCACCTATCCACCCATCCACCTATCCATCCTTCCACCCTTCCACCCTTCCACCCTTCCACCCTTCTCCTACCCATGCTCCTTGCGAAATCAAACCAAACCAATTAACTTCCTTACCTCTTTTCCTTCATCCCCTATCCTTAATCCCTCCATCTTCCTCTTCTCATGTCTTCCGCTTCCGTCCTTACCGCGCCAGACCGAGACCCGTTTCAAAGCCGCCTGATCGAAGCCAAAGAGGCCTGGAACCGCACGGTCGAGAGATACCACCTGGATCAGCAGCACGTGACGCTAGGGCAGATCAATACCCCACGGCCCAAGCGTTTCTCGGGCAGCACCATCGACGAGCGGGCCTACGCTTGTTTGCGCCTGCTGCGCCCTAGCCCGCAACGATGGACGCTATCCGGCGTGCTCGCGCATCTGAGCCGGCGCCGTCTCGTGGATCGGAGCCGAGAAGAAGCATTTCGAAGATATTTCGGATGCTCGGTATCCAGTCCGGCGCCCACTTCCGCTCTTACTTCCGCTTCCGCGATCAGTGCGTTACCGCCTTCCACCCCAGACGCGCAAGATTCCGCCGCCGCCGCCGCCGCCGCCGCTGCTACTTCGATGCGCTTCAATCACCCGGCCCCTCCTCCCCTCGGTCGGTATGACCGCTGCACCGCCGACGGGACGTTGCGCATTTTAGACAACCTGATCCGGTTAATAGAAAATGCGAACATCAATGATTCGGATCTGCCCTCAACTTCCTTCGACTATCCATATCGCCACCTACCATCTTCCTCCACGCTCGCGGAACACCTCGGCGGCTTCTCCTCCTTCTGGGCTTCCTTGTCCACTAGCGAGCCCTCGATACGGAATTCGCAGACATCCGCTCCCTCTCTCGTACCCGAACTTTCGGCGGCATCGTCACGTCTCGATTTCCAACCAGAAGAGACGATCGCACCGACGACACCACGCTTCACCGATTCCCCCCCTTCTCCAGTGGAAGACCTAGATAGTCTTCTGCGCCGCACAAACATCAATGATACGACCCCTTCGAAACCGCCCCTTTTCCCTGTTACGACCCCGGCTTCTTTCTCGTCCTCGGATACGGATTCGGATTCCGAGATACGATCAGAAAGCACGCCGGTGATGCCGCTGCCAGAAGATGATCGCGTAAGGACCTCCACCGAAAGCGAACGAATGGACCTCTTTAATGCATTCGTAAACGGATGTATGGCCAGCATCCAGCTCGCCGGCGGCTCGAAGGGCGCGGTGTGGTGCACCGCAACATCGAGCCAGGTCCGTTTCCAATTCGGCGAGGCCGGCAAGCGAGGCAAGACGCGCACCGACACGTCCACTCCGGAAGACGTGCTGAATGCGAGTTTCGTAGCATGCGTCGATGGCGTGCAATTTGCGCGGCCGCCTCTTTTCGGTCCACAGCAGCAGCAGCAGCAGCAGCAGCAGCAGCAGCATGGGGCCGGCATCTGGAAACCAGAATATCTGGCCCTTATCGAAGCCAAGAACCGGGGTCGAGAAGCGCAGCGTCTCGGACCGGAGAGCGCCGGCGTTAATGCCGTGCGGCGACAGGAGGGCGCCGAGCTGGTAGCGTGCATTTACGAGGATCGGAAGCTGCGCTTGAAGCGGGCGGCATTAGCTAAGTATACCTTCCTACTTTGCTTTTTTATGCTTTAACACCTTGATTTCTATTTACCGATACATCCATCTTATTACTCAAGTTAACCCTATTCTTTATCTACAGCCTCTCAGATCCCTTCCAAACGCAATTGCTCTACTCGGTAGCAGAAGACGGCGTTTACCTCTCTATCGCCGAATTCTCTCTCCCTTGGTTGCAATATATTGACAACCCCGCATCGCCGGTCGTCTCGCCTAGATCGCCGAAGGAACGAAACGCGCAGTCGGAGGACTGGCTGATCGTATGGGAATATGGCCCATTAGACTTTCGTCGTGCGGGCCGGGATTGTAAAGAGCTAGCGTTAGTGGTAGCGATGCTAGTCGATCAGGAAATGAAGTTTCAAGATTAAAAAAAAGAAAGAAAAAAAATACAAAAGAGAAAAAGTGCGTCGATCGCTCGCTATTTTTAATTAACTAGTTAGAATAAAGGAAATTCTTGGAAAGCTTAGCTCGTAGCTATGCTTAATTTCAAAGGAGATAAGAAGAGCTTTTTAGATAGTATACGATTAAAGCGGTCAGTATTAATTAATTAGCTTCTTTTAAGACGTGTGTGTGTCAGATGCTAGATGCGACTCGATGATTACTTAAGTAGATATAAAAGCTAAGGGTATAAAGTTATCGTTATGATTATCTATCATTTAAAATCAATTAATTCTCGGTCTAGCGACGTTTCGTATTTTATAGCATTATATATCGCCTTTTTTTTAAAGCGTGTGTATATGTAAAATGCGATTCGGAAATTGTTAAGGTAGATATAAGAGCTAAGGGCATAAGGTTGTCGTCGTTAAATACCGCTGTCGACCTTCTTTATCTTGCGTGGCCTTCGAGATCTGCTGCGATGCTTGATCTGTTGCTAAATCGGGCGTGAGAACCGGCCGTGCTTGATTAGGTTCGCGTGGATAAACAAATATTTATTGCTCGTTTGGATTACCGTGCAGGTCCTGTAGGGCTGGCCGTGAAAGCTGGCCGTGAGAGCTGGCC